ATAATTAAATATGCATACGACTTTGTAAAGCTCTACGGCACTCATTGTAGCCGGATCAACCATCTCGGCACCACACCTAGGAACTAAATCCAGTCCCAGTTTTCTAAAAAAAAGACAATATATTTAACATTTTATTTAAAAACTATATATTTATGTTATTTTAAAGTTCAGAGCAAAGAAATTGTTTTTATAAAAACAGGGACCAGCACATCCCGCACTATGATATTTGTAAATGTTAAATTGTTTTATTCTTTTCAATGTTCTTTATTTAGGTGAATAAAACATTTGACAATTGACAGTTACTACTACTACAGTCTACARGATACGATAGTAATAATTAACTATTTAGAGTATTATTGTATCGACTTTTTTTTGGAAGTTTTATAATACTAACAGTTATAGATTTAAAATATTAAACTACATAATATTGTTTTTTTTTAACAAATTTAATTTGGATTTTTTCTTAAAGTATAAACAGAATATTATATTTTTAGAGTAAAATTAATTTTTATTTTAACATAAATTTAGATTTATTTATTATATTGGATAAAAAAAAATATGAAATTTGAGATTTAGCGTCCATTTATAGTTACCCGTAACTTAAAATCTCCTACCCCACATATTTTTACATACCACTGCTGTGTTTTAATTTTAATCCGTATAGTACATGTTGTACCATTTGCTATGGCCTATGATAGCTGTTTCAACTCTTCACTAAACAGTAAACACTTTACACAAGATATCTATAGAATAATATCAATATATTGTAATAATCAGTATATTATATTACATATTATTACCTATCACATATTATATATTCCGTATAGCATCGCCATCCGCTCATGTTGACAATCTATGTGAATACTAAATAGTGAATGTAAAATTACATTAATTATTAAGATTATGCAAATAATTATTTTTTTTTCTCATCTTATAATATTTCTTCTATAATCGGTGAATAATTATAGTTAACAGCTTAATTAAATACTTAATTATAATTTATAGTTATTGGATAAACACGAAGAAAATAAACGATTAAAGATTAAATACCTAGTTGAAAACGAAGAATCTGTCACTATTTTACTAATCGTGTAATATTTTTAATATACTTTTTTTATACATTTAAATTATTATTATTTTTTTTTTWTATAGTTTTAGTTCGCAGATGGATTTGGATTTGGAAATTTTGTTATTTTTAGCTATTATTTATAAACTTTTAAGGTTAAAATAACTAAAAACCGTGGAAACTCTGCAGATCGTGTGTAAAAGATATTGAGTATACGTATACACAGTAAATTACCTCACTTTTTGAATTACGAACAATTAACTAAAATCGTTTAAATATCAAAATTTGAAAAGGAAAAATAAAATGAACAATAAATCAATTAGGTAGAAAATTTAAAATACCAATTAGGTAAGTATTAGGTTTTGAATATTTCATTGAATATATAGATGTTTATTTAAGTAACAATGGAAAGTTTTAAATCTATATGATAAAATATAAATTATGTKTTTGAACAATAAAAAAATAATCAAAAATCGTGTTTTAACATGCAATGTCGTCAAAATTTAAATTTCAATCGATCAAAAAGAAATTAATGTTGATATGTCATATTAGTTAAACTATATTCTAAATGTAAGGAAAAACTTATTAAATAAACTTTACATTACATTTTCTCTAAAATCTGGTTTCTCTGACTGCATATCACGATTTAAGATGGTACATCGTGTTGCAAATAGAAAGAGGTATAGCCAAATTCCTAATTTTTAGCATGTAAGTGTTTAACACGGCGGAGACCGTGGTATAATAAAATTACTAAAATTTGTAGTCAGTATTTTATTTTATTTTTTTTTTATGATCATTTACAACTTCGGCAACAAAGGCCATTAGTTATTTTATTTTTTACATTACGTTTGCCAAGTATTTTATTATTATCAACCTTATATAAGGTAATACATATCCAACAATTACTGTTAGTAATGGTAAGAAAAYATAACAGTATTTTGATAAAAAAAATTGACTTTATTATTTTTTGGTAAAAGATGGCTCGAAATTTTAAAATACTGACTGGACTTTCGACTACCAAGTCCGCCCCTAGATTTTATATATTACATTATGTACATTATGTTCATGTTTATTTAATGTTTACGAATTATATTATTATATACTTCAACATTGTGAATTCGACAGTTGTGTACTAGACTACCTATAGTAYTCATGTTTTACATTTAGATAATAATACGCATCTTAATATTAATCGTTGTTGTTATGTATCTATACACCATACGGTATGACAGTGTAAAGTAGATGTGCATAAAACCTAAAACCATAACTTGGTAAAATAATACAGGGTGTTTTACAAGGAATGAACTTATTTCGAATATTTATATATTATTAATTGTAAGAGATATTATAATTTATAAAAAAGAATATAGCATCATATAATATTACAAAAAGATTTTTTCAAAAAAATTCAATGACAGAGAATTTATTGAATTTATAATTTTTTTTTTTTTTGAGGGCGGGGGCTTTAATCTTCTACCATAAAATAATCTTGTTAATAAAATCGATTCTTATCAGTTACTTTTATTGAGCCATCTGTTGGCATTTGTATCTTGTATGAATATCCGAGATGACGAAATAGGAATATTTATACACTGAAAAAGTTAAAGCTGTTTCAGTTTTAAAATATTAATCACCAATAAAGCCGGTTAATTAATTAAGGAAAGTTCTGTATATTATGCTAATTATTTATAGGTCAAAATATGAGGTTTTGATTTTACTGAACTCAAAAGTTAATATTCCCAGAAGTAATAAAAATAGACAATTAACAAAAAAGTTAATACCTAACACACTATATAACAACACTTATTAAATAGGTATTAATCAGCATTACAGCTTAGGCCTTAACTAATGATATGTATAATCGCATATTAAGATAACAGAAGAAATATACCTATACCAAATAAAAAATTCATTCAACAAGATAAAATAAAGTCTAGTATACTTATTAGTTATCCAATAACTAGTTAGATACATATTACGGTATTAATAAACTAAATTAATTTAATGGACATATTACAAAAAATAAATGAATTTAATATCAAATTATACCTATACCTGCCTAAACGGCTATATTTGTTTGTAAGTAAATATAAATAATAGAGGTTTACCCTTGGTTATTGTCATCCACTATGGATGAGGTTAAAATTCCTTTATATTTCCTCGAWTTTTAATATACACTAAATTCAATCTGACATTCATTTTCAGACAAAATTAACCGTAAGATCATTGATTTAAGATAAATTATTATAAGTTATGGCATATTATGCATAGTAAACATGGCATTTCACGACCTATATCAAGTACCTATAGCATGTTGCATATKCATTCGTATTCAATATTAACATATTATTAAGTAGTATATAACCAAATAGGTACTACAATTTGAAATAGTAATATAACACATTCCCGTTTTTGTATCTAAGAAATAATTACTCGAATACTGTAGGTCTGTAGATAGTTTACATTTTTTTTTTTACTTGCACACGAAACCAATCAACTATTGTGAAAAGGATTATTAATTATACAGTCAATTATAGTGTTAATAAACATAGTACCTAATAACATCACAAATAAATATCAATCAAACAACATTTTGAATAATATTAAATATATTTAAAAAGGATCAATAATTTTATATCATGTAAAATATTTCTAAGGCACGAATGTATTGAATATTGATACATTATTCGTACAMACGTACTTAATTAATCAATCTTCATATTTAATACTAATAATAAGAATTACAATTATTGTATATGTTTTAACTAATATAGTGGAATATATAAGAATAAATTAAATACCTTACTAAAACAATGGTGTTTAAATTTGAAGATTTGTTATTATTATTAGAATTCAATGAACTGTACTGTGATTTTGTAAATTATAACAATGTTTTTTTTGTATATATATATTTACAAAAAAAAAAACATTCATAATATTTTGACCGCATGTGCAAATTTTATCGTTACCAATACTTAATATGTTTCAAATAAAATGGTAATGTTCAATGACATTGATGAAAGTAAGTCGRTACTAATAATAATAATGTATAACATATTATACGAGATATTATATTATATTGAAACTACAGGAGCTACCAATAATGAATATAAGATCAGTTCACTACAGCATTATATTAACGACCCAAGTACCCAGCACGAAAGATTTAAAACAAGTTCAACGACTGTTTAATTTGCACACACACGAAATACCAACAGCCAATATATTATGTAAATTGAATCGTTAAAATTAATACGAAATACAACATATTTTAATAATACAACGTCTAACAACTTTACAAGCAAAAAATGAGTATAATACATGAATACATCTACTTTTTAGTTTTGATTACATTTACATAGGTACATATTATAAAGTTAAGGTATTAATTATACTATATAATAAATTAAAAAATTACAATCTYATAGTTCACTAATTATCGATAGTTATTATTTTTTATGACCTATATATTATGATACAGTGGATACCATTAGTGTATATTATGTATATATGCCTGTAAAATATACGTATGTCGTATATTATGTATTTAAACATGCCCTTGATGTATAAATGAACGTAATATCCTAACTACTAATAATATTAGTTGTTAATACCATAAATAACAAGTAACAAAATCAAAAAGGTATGATGTATTTAAAATATGAGGGTACAAATGTATTAGAAAAGAAAATATAGGTATTTAACAATAGTGATTACAAAATTAAATTTAAGAATTATGGTAAACGGTTATTATTTTGTCTGATTTTATTAAAATTATATAACTGTATTAATTTATGATTTTTTTTATTCTAATTTCTATCTAACATAATTTGAAAATTGCCGTAATTTTTACGTATTAAGTCAATATTTGAACTTCAAATGCTAATAAAAAAAAATTGTGCCTATGTATTTTTATAATTTTTTAATTAGTATAAGAATAACTAATGAGGAACTTTGTATTAAATTTTCAAGTATTTTATAGGGCCAAACAAATTTTATCGACACTTCAAAAGAAAATTTTCAGAAAAATTGAAAAT